AGCCTGGCAGCAGGGAAGGACAACTTTCAAAGGACACCGAAAGGAGGGTGTTTATCACAGGCCAGGGCCTTTGCTCGAGAGGAGCAGATGTGCCCCTGGAAGAGGTCACAGGAATGGAGTCACCAGCCCAGACCGCTCAGGCGAGGCAGGCACAGATTTGTTGACTCCTGCTGTGGAGCCAGCATGGCATGGAGACACCCTGGAGAAAAAGGAAATAGATCCCCAATGAAAATGAGATAAGGTTGTGTCCAGTTGTAGTAAGGCCTGGCTGTTGGTCCTAGTCTTGTTTAGAGCTAAGGCTTTAAGGGGGCCAAAACTCAACACTGGTGCAAAAAGCCCTGGAAAGAGTAAGGATTTTGCAGTTCGGGCTAAGCAATTGTCTTGGGGCCCACAGGCCACCTCCTGCACTAGCCAGCCATCAGACAGCTGCCCATGGTCTGCTGGGCTCCCCCTGTGGCTTACAAAGGGTGTTTGTATTCACCTGGAGCAGGGCTAGGCTGGCTGGGAGCTGTGTGACACCCAGTGCTGCAGCAGTGACCCTGTGAGGGCACAGTGAGATGGGCACCACTGCCCTTCGGTCAGGTGCTAGCTGGCAGAAGTGCAGCTGTGGAGTAAGACATCACTTGGGATGGAGCCTGGCTTTTGGTCAGCACTTGGCAAGAGGCTGCTCCTTCCCAGAAAGCTCTGCCAAACCAGTGGTTCAGGGGAGCTGGTGATGTGCAGCACATCGTGGGCATCTCATCAAGTGCCAGAAGTGTGACCCAGAGCTGTAGGAGATGTGCCATACCAGCTGTGCTGGGGGTGCCATCCCTGACATCCCAGGGCAAGGTGTCCAGGGGAGTGACACACCTTACCAGCCCCTGGGACCGAATTATGGAAATAATGCTTGCCCACATGTCCTTGGGGTCCCTCCTTGTAGCACTCCTGAGGAATGTCCCCAAGACCCAGAAGCCTCCCCAGCCAGCTGCCTCAAGGGATGCCCCCAAGAAGCGTGTGCCTTCAGAGTTAAGTAGGTTAAGAAAGTCCTTTCTCCAAGGTCTGGATTAGCCACTGCTGCTCCGGGCAGAACAGACTCAGCGGGGACGCTGCCAGTCAAGTGAGGACAGCACGTGGGGATCTCAGCAGAAGGGGATCAGTCCAACATGGTGCCATGAAGCAACCCCATGTTCCCCACATAGAGTAAGCACACCGTACACCCAGGAGTTTTCCCTGCTCTTCAAAAGAGGCTGGGAGCAACAAGCCCTGTCTGTGGGCTGAGCACTGCTCCTGGGCACTGGAGCAGGATGTATAGCCAGGGACAAGGCAAGCTGGACCCTGTTAGTGGGCAGGACAGAGGCTCTTCTATGTGAGTTCAAGCACTTTGCCACGTCACACACTGAGGTTTGGGGTCTGAGTCCTGCTTTACTTTCAAGGGCATTGCAGTTGCCAGAAAGTCACAGCAGGCCTGGGGTGGAATACCCAGCACCCCTGTGGTGGGATACCCTGCCCAACCGCACACACCAGACCAGACTGGGAGGTTTGTAGAGCAGTGCTCGCCTGTGGAAGCAGAGAGGCTCTGAAGATGGACAGAACCCAGCTCAAACTGCCACAGCAACACAGCACCAGGGCCTGGGACCTGCGCTCGGCTGGGACTGGGCATGGGATGCCTTCAGGAATGGAGATGGGCTCAGACAGCAGGATGGTGCAGCATGCAGGGTCCCTTTGCTCCCAGCGTGTGCTGGCCCCTGCAGATGCGTCCCTCCAGGATGTCCGGCACAATAGCTCCGCTTCAGCAGCAGAGTTTGTGTTGATCTTGCTGCTGCTTTGGGCAGCCGTCGGCTTCCTGCGGGCACGTACGCTGTGAGCAACATCCGACTGGGAAGGGATGTTGCTGGGAGCTTCATGTTTTCCGTGCTGGGGCCCGCAGGATGAGTAACAAAGGAAAATGGAAGGAGCGAGTGTGTGTGTGTGTGTCCAGTGTCTCTGCTCAGGGCTGGCTGGTGTGTCCTAAGTCCCACCGTGTGCCCACTGACCCAGCTGGGACCCTGGCTCTCCTGACAGTGCCTGCTCTGTCCATGACCCACCCAAGTCTTTAGGTGCATTCTGCTCTCCCTGCAGTTCCAGGGCTGACACCAGCTGTAGCGCGGCTGTACTGGGCCAAGGCTTCTGGGCACCCTGGACAAAGAAGGTGTTGGCTTTTGCTCCAGCTGCTTTTTAGGCCTCTGTTTGTTTAGCAGGTACCTGTTTAACAAAGCATGGGATGGCAATTCCCTGCTCTCCCGCCTCTCTGGATTTCAAACAGCTCTACGCTATGCCACAGAAGAACACTTGCCACTCCCAGGCCTTAAAAAGACCTGGAGCTGGTGCTTTGGTCCTTTAAACAAGACTTTTTTAACAAGCCTGTCAGATGATACTGCTCTCCTACTAGGCAACTCTTCATTAAAACTTTATACTTTAGCAAGCCTTTCACTGAAGACACACTCCAAGCATCACACCCGTCAAACAGCAGCAGGCAGGACCAATTTAGTAACTCAGAAGGTTTTTCTGAAGGAGGAGAGTATCCAGTCCTGAACAAGCTCCCAACTGAAGGATGTGGATCCCAGATCCCTCTGCTGCTCCAGGATGCCCAGAGCTGAGCCCAGCCTGGCTGCAGGCAATGTGTGGGGTTCACTTTAGCACTGGCTGGAGCTCTGCAGGACTCCTGCAGGGCACAGGGGACAACTGAGCACAGGAAATGTGGGCAAACTTCAAGCATGGGAGTACCTGGGCTGCCCCAGTGCAGGCACTCTGTGCTGGCAGCTTGGCCAGCTGGGCTCCAATGAGGCTCCACAACTTATGTGGGCTGGTTACTCATATTTTTTGCACAACCTTAGCAAGCTCGTGTGAACCCGGAAAACACATTTGTTTCCAAAAAAAAAAAAAAGAGCTTTCATAGGTCCAGAGAAGAGGAAACTGAAGACTGGTCGAGATTTTGATTGTGCACGTTCCCTTCCCCACAGCAGTAACCTGCTTTTCCTCTCACAACATGCTCCTCTGCTCTGTGCTCCTCTCCTTTAAGCACCCACTGTCCTCCTGGGTTACTCCATTGTCCTTCTTCCCTTTCCACCCTTGTGCTCCATTCCTGGGTGGGAGCATTGGTTTGGCAGAGGGACTGGCATGAGGCAGCATCAGTCTGTACTTAGAGCTCTGATACAGATCATGGACATTCCCATAGGCACAAAACCTCAGTCCACAAAATGCTTCTGAAGTGTGACAGCCTGGTGAAAATTACAATTCCTGGGGTTTTTTGTATGGGTCTCATTTGTCACCCTGGGCTTGGCTTGCTTATTTTTTTGACACCATCACTTCTGATCCACCAAAGTCTACCCAGGTCAGCTGATGCTGACAACAGGGACACAGGGACTATCCTAGGGGACTATTTCTGCTTTATTTCTCATCACTGAACCTTACAAAAGAAATTACAGGAGCCAAGAAGAGCCCCAAAGAGGACACCTGCTTCTGAAGGAAAACCACAGGGCATGAAAAATTGGAAGCAATTCCTAAGAGGGCGCAGAGAGAAAGAGAGGATTTAGATTTAGTGAGAACATCTTGATTTGCCTAAATACGTGAGTCCCTTATTAAATTACTGTCCTGTTGAATAATAATGTTCAGCAAAGGGATCAAAACTGTGTCATTCTAGATTGTAAATGAGACTTGGGAATTCAGTGGTGAGGGCTAAGTCACAATCCTGAAATGTCCCAATGTGAGAATGGCAAAGTTCAGGGGGTACAGAGAGACCCAGTCAGGCTGCAGGGATGAGAGGCTGGGCTTGTTGGGGTGGAGGCTGCAGCCTAGTCCTGAAGAGCCAAAAGCTTCTATGGGAGCCACTGTCTCACTACCAAAACACTCTTTCTCCTGCCAAGACACAGCCCCTTGGAGCCCTGGGGAAGCAGAAGTGCCTGTCCCACCACCGGGATGCAGTGCTGTGCAGTCAGGTTTCACATCCTCACCAAGGCTGCTTGGCTCCGGGGCTGGGGCTGGCTAGGGAAAACCAGCAGTTTCCCAAAACTGCAGACTTGTAATGAAAACTGAGGTGCCACAACTCACTGGACTGAAGAGAGCAGTGTCCCTGCTGCCCCTTCTGTCTCTACCATCCCTACCACTGGCCACACCACCAGCAAGCCACCCCAAGGAGACCTGCCAGCACAAAAGCCTTTTCTTTCCTTAGGGGTGGTTTTCCAGTCCCCTTTCTTAAAGCAGGACCAACCCAGTCTCAGTTGTTCCTCAGATTCCTCTGCTCCTCCCAGCAGCAGCCAGGCTGGGACAATGAGAGATTCAACCTCCTGAGCAAAAGCCACTAACAGTGCAACCACCAAATCCTCCCAAGCATCACAGCGCTGAACTCTGACCTGAACTCATACTTCTACCACTTATTTACTTGCTCTTGTATTTTAGGCTTGCATGTTTCACAGACGCAACACACCACCTCTCTTCACAAAGCTCTTCCTCCCACCCAGCCCACGTGTGCTGCTTTCAGCCCTTCCAGCCGCCCGCCCCGAGGGAGGAGACACCCACGTTCACCCCGCACAGCATGGCTGTGGCTGCTGCAGATTATTCACAATTTCTTGCCTGGGGGATGCAAGACCTGTCAAAGGTGCAGCTTTCCAAACACGGAAACCTGTGACTGCTGCAAAGCCTTGGCATCCTCCCTGTGTTCAGAACTAACAGGGCTCTCCTCATCACCTGGGAAGAGGATGTGGGGAACAAAGTCCTCCCCTTAGAAGGGGATTTAGTAACCTGTTTCTGGAGGAGCTGGGAGAAAGCTCCAGGCAGAAGGACCATCAGCTACGAGCTGGACAGGGCCCTGGCTGAGCAGGAACCCAGAGGCTAAATTGGAAGGACTGGAAGCCAGCTCTGAGCTGATATGAAATCCATCCCACAGGTGGGACACCTGATCAGAAAGGACTGGTTAATGTTTAATCAGTCACAAAAACATCCTGTGGCAGAGGCGCGGGGCTCTTCCCGCCCGCCGGGGGACTCACCGTCCTCATGGCCGTGCAGGTTCTGCGGGCTGCGCATGCTCTCGTCCTGGCTGGGGCTCAGGCTGGAGTTCAGGTGCTGGTCAGCTGAGATCCATGTGGAGTCGTTCATATCAAAGTCCTCGCTGCTCACCGACGTCTCATCCTGGAGGCAAGCAGGAAAGGGTTAACTTATGGAGCTATTTCCTTTCCTCTTTTCTCTGGCTTTAACATCTCCTCACCGCACTCCTTCCTAAAAACAATTGGTTGGGCAGCTCCTGTTCCCCGCCCTGAGAAGCCTTGCTGGCCCCTTGGGCTTCCCAAGGCCACAGCAAGCAGCCCTTCCCTGTGCAGGGCGAGGTGGCTACCCCAGCAGGGACCAGGGCTCTGCTTCCTGCCTGAAGACTTGCCTGAGCAATGGCACTGTCTCTAATTGAGGACAATTAGAAAGAGCTCACATCCTGTAGGAGCGGATGGCTGAGCCCTGGAGTTTACCCTTTAATCTCCATCCACCCCAGTGTGCTCCTGGTGAGGCAGCGGCGTGGGGGAGCTGAGGACAGGCAAGAAATGGCTCCATAAAACAACTTGGACTTTTCTGAGATCAAATCATCTGCTACACAAGGAATCACCAGAGCACTGGCAGCAGCAGGAGCAGCTTCTGGGGCACATCTGGACACAGGTATGGATCCCCAAAGACCTGCACTGCCTGATGCTGCAGAGGAGGCTCCTCCAGACCTCTCCAGAGGGATACTGTCTCTGTACCCTGATCAAAAAATGACAGCACACACCTTGGGAAGGGGCTGGGGGAGTGAGGTCCCCAGTGAGACAAGGACACCCCAGCTCAGGCCAGGGACCCCAGCCAGCCGCCTGTTCCCTGACGATGGCATAGATGACATTCCTCTCTCCCACTTCTGCAGCTCAAAGGACATTTTCTCTCTCCCTCTTTCCCTTCTCACTAACCTTTACAGTACTTCGAGACACAGCCCTTGGATCACTTCCAGTGCCGGAAAGGTCAGCCACAGGATTTCAAAACCATCATCATAAAGGCAGCACTGAGATCCTGAATGAGAGGAGGGGCTGTGGGACCTCCCCAGGCTGAACTCTCCCAATGCAAAGCTTGGGAGGAAGCAGATACGTGTTCCCGTATGGACACGGTCCTCCTGGTGATCCCTTTATCTGCCTTCCTCTCCCTGCTCCCCTCCCAAAGCCAGGGGCACAGACAGCCCTGGGGTGCAGGGGAACACCGAAAATGCTTCCAGAACCGCTTTCAACTCTGCTTTCCTTTGATTGAAACATTTCAAAGGCTTGTAAACCTCTCTGCTCTTGTTTTTTTTACCCTCCCCCTGGTCCTGAGATAAAATACAATCCCTGCTCCCTTTCCGTGTAAGCAGTAATTGGCAGCACCCCTCCAACCTACGCCTGCTCCTCATAAAAACGGCCCTGTCTGGCTGCCGCTGGCTGATAGTTTTTATTGTGAACAAACAAATGTCTTTAAAGACAGGTTTGTGCTTTTCCTCCCAGCTCCTTGTCCCTGCAGACACATCTGCTGGCTCAGGGCTCGTGCTGGCCCCAGCCCGCTCCCTCCATGTGCCTCCCGGGGAGTTTCCTGGAATTTACGGCTTGTGAAACCCTGCACGCACCAAGGGACGGACTGATGGACAGACGGACAGGGCTCGACAGCCCCATGCATGCCCCCCACAGGGACACCCTGACCCCAGAACCCCACCAGGTGTCCCTGAGCAGCCTCCCTGTGCCCAGGTGTCCCTGAGCAGGAGGCAGGGACATGCACATTGTCCCTGGCTCAGCACAGCTCCGCTGCCACACCAGCCACAAAGCAATCTTGCCTCTCCAGAAACTCCATCTTGTACGTACAGGAACAGAACTGCAAAGGTCTCCCTGTTGCAAACTATAAATAGTCTCTTTATTGTAAGCATTTGCAGGGAAGCAGCCACCCTAATATCTGGCCTTCTTCACAAGGCTTACTCAAGATTACTGTCAGGCTTAAGAGACAAATGCAAATGCCAAGGTCCTTGCTGCCCACAGTCTCTCACCTGTCCGGTGAGGAGGAGGAGCCCAGGGAGTGACCCGTGATGTTTTCAGGTTGTTCAGGCTCAGGCGCAGAGGACATCCAGCCTCAGCACCCAGGCCACAACCCAGGAGGCATCAGGTTCTCCATGCACTCACACACGGGGGAGAAGCAGTGACACGAAGGATGCCTCGCATGCACATGCGAGGCAAAGTGCTTTATAAATGTGTACAATTCTCTCGAGGTGCAATAACATTCACCTATTATTAGAAATACTCTGGCTATCAAACCAGAGACTGATAAGCTATAAATGACTCAAGTTAAACAAGGCTGTCACACGTCCACCAGTCCAGGATTCAGCCACCAGCAGAAAGTCACCCCCTGCTTTCCAGACAGAGCTTTCTGCTTTCCAGCATTATATCCTTGGCCAAAATGCCAACAGGATGAACTTCCCAGCATCTCACAGCTCACGCTGCCCACCCCAACAGAATGCAAAGCCAAACGTGCAGGTAGAACCCTTCCTGGCAGTGGGAACTGTGGAGAGAGCATCCACTGCCTGCTGAGTCCGGGCAGCCACCCGGCTCTGCCCACACCACAGTGCCCCAGGAACTCCTCACACCTTTGTGCCTCTTTACTAAAGAAAGAGCAAAGCCCCAGCCTCAAGAGCGGCTCTGGCCGAACCCATCACTCCTGCTCTGGCATCCTGCACTAGCCCTTGGCTGCATTCCTCACTGCTTGTAGGAGCACCAGAGGCCACCAGCAAACTCCTGCCTCAGCACACCCCTCAGAGACCAAAGGCTGAACACTGTGACCTCCAAGTGCTGCCCATGAACTGCTGGCACTGCCTCCTCATACCAGGGACAATCCCAGGGACAGGAGGCCCCAGCAGCAGCATCCAGAGCACCGGCTGCCCAGCCACAGCCAGGAGCAGAGGGACAGCAGCACAGCACAGCACAAATCCAGCCTCAAAGCACAGGACACCAGAGCAAGATCAAAATTTCTGGCTAGGTGGGAGCTCTGAATCTCCCTAAATGCCAGTAACCTGGCTGAAGGCTGAGCCTTGCAGTGGGCTCCCCATCCAGCCAAACAAGGAAGCATTTCTCAACAGCAGCAATAGCCACGACTCGGAGCAATACGGTAAATGTAATCTACCCTTCCACCCTCTTTTGGCTTGCAAGTCAGGCAGCTCATTCTTTTTCCTCTCTGGGTTCTCAAGAGAATTCCCTCTGCTAATTTCTTCTTTCCTGTAAACAAACTTCAAATGAAACTTTCATTAGAAAACAGAATGCAATCCATTACCAGTGCCTGTCTCAGGACCTGCTGCCTTTTCCCCAGTTCCACACCACTCGTGGCACAGATGGAAATGCCAGTGGCGCCCCAAGCAGCCAGCCCAGAGCCAAACCCTGAACCCCGGCACTGCTGCTGCCGCCCTCCTCCTTCCTGCCTTTCCCAGCTCTCTGGAGAGATCTCCTCACCCCGCAGTAAAGTCCCATCGCTTTGTTTCCAATGTTCAAGGGACTGAGCGATCAAGGGTCAGGCAGCAGAGCTCCTCTCTGCAAGGGGAAGTCAGATCCTGCTGCTGCACACTCACAGGGCACACCCAAACATCGGAGCAGGGCTCCCGGCACCACTCAGGGTTTGGAAAACAAAATCCTTGCTTCTCTCCTTATCTACAGTCCAACATTCACAGCTGCTCTACAGACATTCACAGCCAATATTTTCTACCCAGCAGAAGCAGACACTCACATGTGCAGGGCTCACACTCCACATTTCTGTCCCACTTTCCATTCACGATCTTCAAGCACTGTGCCTGCAAGTGCCCGCTGAGCTTCCCAACTTCGCTGAGAGTTAGAAAACTACTCCTCGTACTATAAAGCTGGAAACCCCGGCTATTGACAGCCACCCTGGCTGGTCCAAGAACACAGCGAGTCGCTGCCAGGTCCAGGAACCTAATCAAGCCCCCCGGACGGCAAGGCTGTAATTGCTAGACAATGTTTCTTCACCAAAGCCCTTCCTCCTGGAGAGCAACCTCCCACAGCACGGGCTGGAGCAGGGCAGGGGGGGAAGCTACTCTTATAACCTCGTAAATATATGCAAGACTATCGGTAACGTGCTTATTTTACAGCCAGGCTCAGTTTCTCGGGGACTGCCTCCCAATCTCTCTCCAGTCATTTACATGCTGTGCCTCACGTTTAATATGCCAAGCTCCGAGTCTCAGGACGGTTTATTTTCTCTCTTTAAGTCCTTTTATTTTAAAGCATGTCCTTTCACGCCACAACCTACTATCCCGATGGGATTTCCTTCCGCGGAGCAGGAACCGAGGCTGTGTGCCGTGCAACCTCCCCGGCACACAGCCACGCTCAGCTTCCCACCAGAACCAGCCGTGTTTTTAGAATCAACAAAAGGCAACGCGTGACTGCCAGCCCCCAGAGCTGCTCCACTGCCACGCCGGTGCCGTGCACGACCTGCCCGGCACAGGCAGCCCCCAGAGCTGCCGAACCTGGCCAGGGCAGAGCTCCCCGCGCCGTGACCCCCGGCAGCGGCGCGCAGGGACGAGCTCGCAGGAAGGCAGCCTCATCTCCGTCTCAGCCACTGTTTAAACCCAGCCCTCTGAGCATGCCAAGAAGGTATTGAACCAGATTTGACCCTAACTTAACCAGTTCCGCGCAGAGAAAGGCTTACTAATGGAAGATAAAACACTCCGGGTCAAAGATTGGTACTGCGGCCGCAAATACTGTGGTGGACATCGCTTCAAAGAGCCGAGAAAGCCTCACGGCACACGGGTGTACGCGGGCTGTGGCGGCGGTGAGCTGTGACTGCGCTGCCTACTCGTGTGTACAATTCCCACACCAAAGAGAACATCCCCGGCGCTCTTTGTCAGGTCACTTACGTCCTTATTTACCGCGATTGCTGCCGATTTCTACGGGACCCGGCAAAACCCGAGTAATTTCCTAGTTCCCGAAAATGGGCAAAACACTTAATTTTAACGGCAAACGGCAAATGGAAGAGGAAGGGAAGCTCATCCCCTTCGCCCCCTCCCCCTTCTCTAAGAGCTCTTCTGGGAACCCCCCGAGCATTCCCACAGCCCCGAGGCGCGGGGAGCTGCCCGGGCGGGGGGCGGCCCCGCAGCCCCTTGCCGG